TTCTCTTTCAGTGCACTCTATATCTATACCTCTCTTTCTTATGTTCTAATTAGAAATCAGAGATTTCTAAATCCTATTTGCAATGTAACTATTCAGTTTCTCCTTACAATTGTGTTTTATTGTGTTTTTTGCATAGTTACTTCTAAATTATGAGTATGTCCTAAACTATTGAATGTTCTTGGTGTTTTTCTCCCAACGAGAGGATAAAGGCAAAAGCTTATGATAGAAGAAAGGCCACGACCAATCTTTTGTTGGTTCTTTATATTCTATTGAATAAAAGCATACTTAATCGAAGCGGGATAATAATGAATAAAATGGAAACGTATTTCAAAAGAGGAAAAAGTACGAGATGGTCGTACCGCAGTATTGTGTTTCAAGAAACGTGAATATAAAGAAACTATGATTTTATATAGATATTTTCAAATCATAAATGTTTGTATAATATTGTATTGTTTATATGTTTGTATCATACATGAGAAAAAATAGTACTTCCGAATGAATCATAGTTTTACTTGGTTCATAGTTTTATTTAATTTGTATTAGTTCGTTTCAAATTGAAAGTGGTCGATCCATGGATGTTGATGATAAGATCGACAAAATCACAGCAATGATTAGAGAAGCACGGGAGATAGATGTTTGCACAGAACTTCATGGGATTCCATTGTTCAATTTATAAATGGTTTGTATCCTACCTATGTTTTGAAGGTGGATATGTGACAATGATTTTTCATTATTTAACATCTCATGATCATCTAAATCACTGGATTGGTTGCTCATCTTATATGAAAGAGATATGAGTTTCTGAGGGAAAGATCTCACCTTCGTTTTTGCATGACATATATTATTACATACGGATGATCCAAAATCCGACCCGGACAATTAGAGTTAATGAGGAGAAAGACTATGCGCTCCATCTAAAGAACATGCAAAACATAAAAAATCATTGAACTTGGTTTGGATTTGTCCCAAGTTCTACTACATTTTATCATCATCTACCTCATGAATTACGGTCGATTTTATTAAAATTTGAACGATGACCTCATATCTCTCAAATCTTTTACGTAGAGAGACGAACAAAAAAATCAAATGGGACTTTATCGATCAAGTTGTTCTATGAAGATCCTACACTACTAATTTTTTGATATTGATGGCAGAAGGTTATATATATTAACTGTTACA